AAATATATAAGTCACATAATATGACATATGTGAACAAGAGATGTCAATGATATACATGTTTATATGAACACATAAGAAGTATTATAAGCTATGGGACATATGTGAAATCATATGAAAAATGATATGTACATGTGAATATGTCTATGCGATATTAGTGATATGAACTTTCATAAATGCCCATGTTATGTGATATGAGAGCTATAGGTATAGTTGGCATGCCAATAGTCGAGGGTTACATAGGTCCTTCGGGATATATACACGGGTCTTTCGGGATATATGCATAGGTCCTTCGGGACATATTTCACACTCAGTGGGACTTATACGAGCTGTGGTGACAGCATATTTACACAACCTTAATGTACTCGCATATCTTTAATTCTCACATGTGTACATGGACTATCTAAAAGATAGAACATGAGTAAATTCTATGTGATGGTATGTGTTTGTTTGGTGATATGATATGATCTGATGTGTATGAGTGTTAAAGATAAGATGATAAGATAAAAGGGATTAATGATAACCTATATGAAAGTAATAAGAACGTAGATAGTGATATATGTGCATATGTGTATATGTTACAGTGGATCTATAAAATATTTGCTTTTTATTTTCTTTTCGTCTCAAATTATTATACCTATAACAATCTTAAGACATATTTTATCTTCTACCTTTATGAAAAAATCCAAGACGATTCGAAAATCTTGGAAAAATTGAGATAAGCAAATAAATTCATTTTTGGGATTTATCATGTCATTTTAACTTGTTTGCTTAATTTCAAAGTGGACAAATCCATTTAATAGAAATTGTCGTTAAAGTAACATTGGTTACTAAGTTTGAAACGTTGTTTTTGTTTGATAATAAAAAATCAAAAATAAGCGAGATTGATTTGAATATGCGCTATGGTACATGAGCTTTTTGTAAATTGTTTTGCAAGCTCACGTGGGGGATTGTTAGAAAAAAATTGATAATTTTGGTGGTTTGAATGAGAAATTGATCCAAACGTTGTTGAGGAAAATGTGGAACCAATTGTTGGTTCGTAAATATGCATACGTGCACGATATGTGTAACGTAAATGTCCGAACCAGTGTAGCTATTTGTTGGTTTGCGGATATTTTAACCCAAATGTGAGATATTTTCCTTAAATAGAGAACATCCTTTTAAAATCTGTTTTGGAATTAAAAGGATAAATATTAAAAGGTTCCTTTAATCAAAACAATAATTTTGGAAATTGCTTAACTGCTTAATTCTCATTAATGCTTCATTAGGTCAAAAATTTCCAATTGTTCACAAGGTGAACTCCCTATAAATACCGTGTTAACCTACTATGTTAAATACAATTCAAAAACAACTCAAAAATCAATTCAAAGTAATTTTCCCCTAATTTTTTGTGATAGGCGAAGACAAGGAATAGTTCTTGATCTCGTCATTTGTGCTACTGTACGTTGATCATCTCGTTGTTGTATCCTGGAAGACAGACGACCAAAGGTCTCGAGCACTAAGGAGTGGCCGAAAATCTGTCTTAAGGAAACTGCGTAATTGCATGCCTCAACTTATTACTATTCATATATTTATGGGTTTTCTAATCAGATTATTTAATCGAATATTTTCCGTGTTATTAATTGTGTTTGTTTTATTCTTGATTTATGTACACAAATTTTAGGACGAGATCCTACCGAGGAATTGAATGTCGTTTGTTGCGACTTGTATGAATCACCATTGAAGCAAATTGTGGATCTATAAAATATTTAATTTTTATTTTCTTTTTGTCTCATTTTTATACTATTTTTTTACGATGGTTGAGAGGAATGCATGTAATGAAAGCATATTAAAAATTCAATGATTGTATTAAAAATCTAAGTGTCCTAAAAAATTTAGGATTATTTTTTTATTAAACTAAAAATATTACAAAGTAATATCTATTCTAAATACTTTCAATCATTTGACAATGAATGCTAAATCACCTCTGATGCATTCGCTAGTGTTCGAACTTGAGATATATAGGAATAACAATCATTCTTTTAACTATTCAGGTAATTTTTTCTCTAAAACTTTCTTGTTTAACATGTTAAATACTTGAAATGTATTTACACTAATGTTTAGTTTTTTTTTCCTTTAAGCTTCCATGTTTAAACCTGTCAAATCATTAAAAAACTCATTAACTTATTTATACCGACATAATTTAATATTTTTTTCTCAAATTTATTTACATCAATATAAACTAACTGAAAATATTTATTAATCGGTATCAAGTATTACCTTTGATCTCATGTGTTAAAAAATATTTATGCACCTAAAATATTTGTCTCTTTCTACAATTTGAAAGTCCGAAATTGGTGGAGGAAGAACAAACAGTTCAAGTTCACAACCAACTAAATTATACACCCTACCTTTCCTTCCTTTTATCACGATGTTGTTTTGAAAATTTTAAATTTTAGTATATTTTAAATATTTTTATTAAAATTGAGATTTTGTATTTTTAAAATTTTAGTATAATTTTATAAAAATTTACACCCGTACTATAAAATCTTTTAAATTTTTTAAATATTTAATTTAATTTAGTAATCACCATTTTAAACATAATTAGGTTTGAATCTGTTGAACTATGTTTCGATATAACAATTTAAGGCAAAATGGTTTTTAGACTTGAATTGAATTTACAAAATGGTTTTTGGACTTGAATTGAATTTACAAAATGTTTTTGGACTTAATTGAATTTATTCAAAATTTACAAAAATAATTCAAAGTTCTTTTAATTTAAAATTGAGCACAAAAATGTTTTTATGAATAGAATTTACTATTTGAACAGTAAATTACTATTTAAACAGTAAATCACTGTTTGAACAGTAACCCGAGGCTCAAAAATTCCAGTTTGTAAAAGGGGAACCGATTCCCCCCAAGGGGGTACCGATTCCCTCACTGTTCATCAGCCCAACGGTCATAATATTTGAATATTATGAAGGGGTATCGATTCCCTATGAAGGGGTACCGATTCCCCCCATTCTGGGCAGCCTTTTTGAGTAGAAAAATCATTCCCAAACGGCTCCAAAACATCCCCAACGGCTAGATACAACTTCAAATTCATTCCAAGCTATAAATACAAGCTAAGGACACTTGAAGAAGCAAGAGAACAATTATCCAAGCAATCAAACACAAGAGAAGAGTTTTTCAATCTTATTTCATCTTTCTCTTGTAAATATTTTGTTCTTGTGAGCTCAATCTTGTAAACACCTACCTTAGAGAGGTTTTCTTGTTTACTTATTTTATCCTTTTGTAAAGGGGAAAGGTTCTAGCTTATCCCGTGTAAAAGCTAGGGAAAGGTTATAGTTTAGCCCGGAAAAACTAGGGAGTTTGTAAGGTTACTCTTTATCCTCAAAAGAAAGAACAAATTAGTGAATTTGTTGGAAAATCCTTGGTGAGGAGCTAAGGTAGTGGACGTAGACTTTGTTTGAGAAAGTCGAACCACTATAAATCGCTGTGCAATTCTCTATCTTTCAATCTCCTTACTCCCTAAACACAAAACCGTTCCGACCCCTCTTTGCAAATCGTTCCGGTTGTCGTTTCGAGCTTCCGAAAATCCTAACAGAATCCCTTTAGATTCATTTTTTATCATTGTCACTATCCTATTAGGAGAATAAATTTATTAGATTGTTTTTAATTACATTTTAGATTATATTGATAAAATTTGTAAGTAATAAAGATCATATATATATATATATATATTTGCATGTTAGTAATGAGAATCAAGATTGTTGTCATACAAAGTTTCATAGTTATCACCTAATCAATTTCTTAACAATTAACGGTTCAAGGCTTAATTGAAAGTAATTTGAAAGTTTAATAACTCGTATTATAAAATACAACTCGAATAAATCGAATAGTAACTTGAATAACTCAAAATTTTTAGTAATTAGTGGATTGATTTTTAAGTTTTAGTCGACTCCCTCAACTTTGTATGATATATGTATATTACATACGAAAAAATATGAATAAATACATGTATTGTATATGGTTATAAAAAATCATTTAAACTGAAATCAAATAGTATCAAGCTTATGGGTCACCTTTTGCCTCTCACTAAATACACATCATGAGTTTCTAAAGGTACAAAGAAATAACATTGACAATGGGTCATTAATATGAACCTCAAGTAGTCGTATGAAAGCTTATTGAAGCCAACCTAAAGATACTCAAATATGGTGGTAAAGGGTAGCTTCAAAAGGAGACTACCTGCAACTGCCTGCAACAAAATGCAAAGAAGCCAACTGTTAAAGCAATGTTGATTTGGTTTGCAATCATGAACTGAAAGAGCCAAAAGCTAGATCAAAGAAGAACACTAGATGAATGATTAATTAGTAATATTGACATCCCATATGGCATGGTGATTCCTAATGGCCCCCGCCACTGCTTCAGAATATGATTGCCGCGCAGAAATATTAGACATAACACAATAACCTCAGTAGGAAATTGTTAAAACAAGAAAACTACTGGAAATGCCTTAGTGTATTAATTTATTTCATTTACACCACATATATAGTATTTACAACATAACTAACTGCCTAACTAATTCTCTAACTGATTCCTAACTACCCAAACAACTTCTTTATTCTTAACACTCCCCCTCAAGTTGGGAAGTGAAATACATATTTAACTCCCAACTTGGATAAGTGATACTTATGATATACAACACCAAGAGCTTTTGTTAGAATATCCGCTTGTTGCTCTGCAGTTGGTACAAATTTTGTTTGAATCAAGCTCTGCTGAATTTTCTCTCTTATGAAATGGTAGTCTATCTCGATATGCTTTGTTCTCTCATGAAACACAGGATTTGCTACAATTTGTAAGGCTGCTTTGCTATCACTGAAGATCTTTGCAGGTTGATTGTTGTTAACACCAAGCTCCTTTAACAACCCTTGCAACCAAACCAGTTCTAATGTTGTCACTGCCATATTTTTGTACTCAGCTTCTCCTGAAGATATCGCTATGGTACTTTGTTTTTTTTATTACCATGAAACTAGTGAATCTCTAAGCTTTACACAGAACCCTGTCACTGATTTCCTTGTCATTAGACATGTTGCCCAATCCGAACCGCAGCTAGCCACCAGCTGACAACTGCTTGAAGCTTTCAAGATAATCCCCAACCTAGGATTATTCTTTATGTACCTTACCACTCTAAGAGCTGCTTCCATGTGCTCTTTCTTCGGTTGATTCATAAACTGACTAAGATGTTGAACTGAAAAGGCTATATCAGACCTTGTATGTTTCAAATAAAGCAGCCTGCCAATTAATCTCTGAAATTCTGCTTTGTCAGCTGAATAATCCTCACCTTTGTTTTCTTGTTGCAAGGAATGATCATACTCCACTGTAGTAAGTTTAGTGTTATGTTCCAAGGGCGTTGCAGTAGGTTTTGCACCCCCTATCCCTGTATCTTGAATAAGCTCAAGAGCATACTTCATCTGATTTAATTATATCCCTTCTTTTGTTCTTAAAACTTCCAAGCCAAGAAAATATTTCAGTTCTCCAAAGTTTTTCATCTTGAAGTTCTTGTGCAGCACCCCTTTTAATTCTGAAATCATCTTAGCATCATTCCCTGTGATTAGCAGGTCATCAACATAAACTATAAGTACTACTATATAATCCTCTTGTCTCCTAGTAAACATAGAATAGTCATGTTTGCTTTGACCATAACCTGTTGAGATGAGAGCTTTCGTGAGCTTAGCATTTCATTGTCTCGAGGCTTGCTTTAAGCCATAGAGAGACTTTTATAGTCTACACACAACACTCTCCCCCTGACTACAAAAACCTTGAGGCAACTCCATGTAAACTTCCTCAAGTAAATCACCTTGCAATAAGGCATTGTGAACATCCATTTGCCACAGAGGCCAATAAAAAATGGCAGCAAGTGCAAGAACAAAACGAACTGTGGTAAGCTTAGCAACAGGGGAAAAAGTATCTACAAAATCAACTCACTCTCTTTGATTATAACCCTTAGCCATAAGTCTTGCCTTGAACCTCTCAACTTCTCCTGAGGCTTTGAATTTTACTCTAAACACCCATTTACACCCAATGCACACTTTTCCTGGGGGCAAGGGAACAAGAGACAAAGTTTTATTTAATTCAAGAGCATGAATTTCCTCATGCATTGCCTTAATCCATCTAGGACCAGATTGGGCTTCTTGAAAAGTTTTTGGTTCAAGGAAATGCGAAACGAAAAGTATGAAAGACTGTGTATGATTTGGTAAATGAGAATAAGAAATATGGTTAGATATAGGATACTGACTTGAAACAGAAGTAAATTGGGAGGTAGAAGATACTCTAGTAGTCACATAACTAGGAACAGAAGCTTGAGGAATAATGGATGGGACTACATCTGTTGAAGCATTAGAAAGATCTATTGAACTAGTGGATGAATAATTATTGGAGATTTCTGAAGAGGCTGAAGGCAAAACAGAATCTGATGAAGGAATTGTATTAAGTGATGAAGGAATTGTATTAAGTGATGAAGGAAATGAGAGTTGCAAAAAATCAGAGTAAGGGATGTCAGGTTGAGGAGGAAAAAACTGATCAAAGGAAGCAAATTTAAAAGGAAAGACATCCTTATGAAAGATGACATATCGGTTGACAAAAAAGTTTTTTAATTCAAGATTAAAGAGAATGTAACCTTTTTGAGTAGAAGAATAATCAAAGAACACAGCAGGAATGACTTTTGATGAGAACTTATCATTATAGTGTGGCTTAGTTGCATAGCATAAACAATTAAAGACTTTAAGATGAGATAAAGATGGTGGTTTGTGATGAAGCATCTCAAATGTTGTTTTCCATTTAATCGCAGAAGAGGGGAACCTATTGATAATGTAACAAGCATTAAGTACACACTCTTCCCAGAATTTAAGAGGAACATTAAAATGAAAATGTAAGGCTCGATCAACCTCTAAAATGTGTTTGTGTTTCCTCTCAGCAACCCCATTCTACTGAGGAGTGCCCACACAAGAGTTTTGATGAACAATGCCAATGGAAGAAAAAAAGGGGAACATTCTGAATTAAAGAATTCAGAACCATTGTCACTCTTACTTACTTGAGCCGAGGTAGAAAATTGAGTTTTGGCTAAGGAAATGAACTGTTTTAGAGAGGAAATAGCATCATTTTTATGCTTCAACAGATATAGCCAGGTCATCTTAGTATGATCATCAACAATAGTGAGAAAAAACCTATGACCACTGTGTGTAGAAACTCTATATTCACCCCATAAGTCAATGTGAATAAGCTGAAATGGAATGATTGACCTAGAAGTACTTATAGGGAAAGGCAATCTAGTTTGTTTAGCTAAAGGACAAACATAACATTTATGCACCAAATAATGCTGAAACTTAACAGATTGCAAACAGTCTATTTTATTCATTTTAGAAAAAACAACATGCCCTAATCTAGCTTCCAAATACAAGTATCATTCTTGGCAGAATCCATACAAGGAGCAGTAATGGAAAAATGACTTAAAACATGGGGCTGAAGAACATACAAACCAAAAGAAAAAGAAGTAACTCAAAAAAATATAATCCTCTAGACTGTCTACCAATCCCCTTCATCCTTCCAGTGCAAAGATCCTTTAGGAGGCAAAAATCAGGATAAAAGGTAAGGGAGCAGCCAAGATCACGAGTAAGTCGAGATACTGAAAGTAAATTATGTTTAAACTGTGGAACAAAGAGAACATTTTCAAGGATATAATCTGAAGTAAAAGAACAGGAACCAAGGTGAGTGATAGGAACATTTTTACCATCAGGGAGATGTATGAATCGTGTGAAAGAATCACAAGGACTAGGAGAATCCAAGCTCTTAAAATCAAATACAATATGGTTTGTAGCTCCTGTGTCAACAATCCATTTAAGTGAAGCATTGGAATGTAAAGAGCTATTAGCTCTGATACCATGTTAAAACAAGAAAACTACTGGAAATGCCTCAGTGTATTAATTTATTTCATTTACACCACATATATAATATTTACGACAGAACTAACTGTCTAACTAATTCTCTAACTGATTCCTAACTACCCAAACAACTTCTTTATTCTTAACAGAAATACCAATACATTATACCATATATTGCCGGGAAAAACTGGTAGATCAATGTCATAAAAGCCAATATAAATGCAGTTAAATTATGATGAAAAAGGAAAGTCGAAGTATTGAACTAAGAGAAGTATTCCATTAAAAATGTACAATTTAGGGTCAAAATAATCTGCAAACCTTGAAAATCAGAATCATCAGCGATTTCAAAACATTCCAGTAAAGAATCCTCAGGAAGAGAGCTGCAACATGGCTGGAAGGTTCCCATATGCACATATTATAGGAATCAATACAAAATTCCACTAAACCCGAGCAAAACAATAACCAAACATAAATAAACAATCAACAAAAACAAAATTCACATCCGATACAAAAATATGACCTTGTATCCAGCCTTAATAAAACACTTGCAGAAAAGATTCCAATCAGTTAAAAACAATCCAACCTTATCAAATATCTAACTTATTCAAAATCTCTTTGCATTACTCACTCTGTAGAAGTCGCTCCTCTATGCCATGAGCTGTAGACACCCGTTTTTGTCCGGGTCTACAAAAATATTATTTTATTACTATTATTACTATTATTATTTTATTAATACATTTTGTTTTACAGGCCCAATTTCAATCTCAACGCGAAGCCCAATTATAGTTGACCCAACAAAATCCAGATTACACCATTACAAGCCCAAATTGATCCACTCAACAGACCCAACCCAATTGGAGCCCCAAGATCCTACCCGAGACCCGACCATGTGGAATTAGGATTTTAAAACCCTAAATATTAACCAACTAGTGGCCGCCTCGTGGACTTCACTGCTCTCTCCCCGAGCGCGTGAGCCGACCACCGAGCCACCATCGAACGTTTCCCGTCCGATATTGTCATCCACAGTGACAACAATCACTCCAAATCGGTCAGAAAATAGAGAAAATAAAGAACAAAAATCAAAAGTAAATCAGATATCCCAAGGCACTCAAATCTATCAACAAAAAGCAATCTATCAAGCCATCACTGAGAAGATAAAAGAGGACAGAGGAAGATATCAGAGGATTTGAGGAGTGATTCGGGGGGTTTTGAAAAAAGGGAGAGAGAAAAAAACATGTCGAAACAAAGAAAAAAGAAAGGAGAGAATGAGAAGGTTCATACATCGGTCAAACGCCAATGAGCCAAGGGTCGTCGTAACTGAAGAAACCGAAAGGTTTCTTCATATATCTATGGCGTTTGAGCCATTTTTAGGCCAAACTAAGTTCGGACCCGCATCCATTATAACATCCTCCATATCAAGTTAGTGACTAAATTGAAATATTTCAAAAAATTTTGGTCAAGGTAGATAAATTAAAAAGTTTGGGGAATTATATGAAGAATGTTGTGTAGGATTTAAATATTAAAGATGGAAATATAGAAGGCAAAATGGTAATTTGATGGAAAGATAATTATTAAGTGGGGATATATATGGGTTACACGTGGGAATGAAAAAGATTAAGGAAGCTTTCTAGAGTTATCTTCTTCATCTTCTTTCAGCCGTGAACTTTAAGTTGTTAAGGTGAAATTTCTTATTAGTTGGATTTTTAGTTGAAATTAAGCTTGATTTTTTATCATTAGATGATACTTAAGTGTTGAAAAACATTTTGATATTTCGATATAACAAATTAAGTTAAATGAATTTTAAGATTTTACAAAAGATTTTCTAAAGTATATTCAATATAATTATTCGAATATCAAAATATTACTCCAAATCTTTCAAATGTCATTTCTAATCCTTACTCAAGTGTAAAATTGAGTTTCAATCTTAAAATAATCTCAAAACAATTTTACAGAAGTATTTCGAACATTTTCAAAGCCAAAAATTCCAGATTGTCCAGAGGGAACCAATTCTCCCCCAAGGGGGTACCGATTCCCCCTTGTTTAACGGTCGAAATATTTGAATTTTACACTTATGGAACTGATTCCCTATGAGGGGGAATCGATTCCCCCCACGCTCCAAGCTATTTTATTAATTGTTTTCACCCTTAAACGACTCCATTGACTCCACTAATCATCCCCAACGTTCAAAATCAATTGAACAAGTATTTAAACAAGCTTATAAGCCATTGATCAAAAACAAGAAATAACGATTATCAAGAATTGAGAGAGAATCAAAGAGAAAGCATCAAACTCATTATTTGAGCACTTCAAGCCTATTTTTCATTCAATATTCATTGTGCTTTCAAGAACACCATTTGTGCTCTATTGTATTATCTTTGAGTGTTCTTTCTTTGTTCTAGAATTGTGCAAACAATCTACCTTGTGAGGTTTTCCTTGTAAGTTTGCAAATTTGTGTATTTCTCTTTGAAAAATAGTGTGCTTAAGAATTTGGGGTATAATTCTTGAGGGAGTTGTAAGGTTACTCTTTGTCCTTA